CAACATGGTTAGAGGTCACTGAAAGATAACGCTATGTAATCAAAACATTAGTTATGCTTCAGTGACGATCCTTTGTGGTGGTGTTATTTTAACCATTTTTAAGCAATCAACTCGAACCTGGACATGTTAGCTTATCTTCCTATCTTCCATAAATGATTTGAAGCTTTTACTTTTACTTTCTTAACATATACTGCATTATTCCACTATTGTCTTCAAAGTGCATGGAGGAAGGGGTTATCACGCGAGTGTGTTTTGGGATGGTAAATATCCTGTATTAGGCATAAACATTGCACGCCAGACACCTATGAATGTGGGTTCGAATCCTGGTTCGCCCCAATTATGTTTCTAGGTTTGTCAGCACCATACCCGTGCTCGTGGGTTTCACCGAAGTGATAAACGTCTGGGAGCAGCATCACTTCGGGCTTTCCTCCGATATACAGCTGACACGCCGTGATATAACTGGGATACTGTTAAACGTGGCGTTAAACCAATCTCACTCACTCGCTCATCTCCCACAAACATTGCAAGTTTTCCTGGAATGTGCGCATTAATATATTACGTCACAAGGTAAGTGATCAGTCAGTTCCGGAAACCAGTCTATTGTCAAAAGGACATACATGTATATGACATATGGATACACCCGTATATTCTCAGACTGGGCATCCTCAATGATGTGTAAAGGATTTCCATACCAAATATATTATTTAGTGAAAAAAAGGGTTCAGGAGGAACATAACCAAGATTACCATGAAATAATGTGTTTATTTTTTAGATGTTACAGATTTTTACTTCATCCAAAAAATTTCGAATGTCACTTTTGTTGCACAGACTAAACTGTCAGTACCATGTACACTTCTGGTTCACGGAATTGAAGAACAAGTCCAAATATTGACTTTCCAACAGTATCTTGTGTAACCTCCCTGAACCCGATCAACTGCTTCAAGACGCCTTCTCGTTCTGTGGATCAATGTCTGGATTTGATTCTGAGGAATTCTGTCCCATTGCTCATGCAAAGCAGACCGCCTCCGTGGTAGAGCGTCCGCCCGGAGAGCGGAAGGTCCGGGGTTCGATCCCCGGCCGCGTCATACCAAAAGACGTTAAAAGATGGTACTTGTTGTTAACCTGTCTGGCGCTCGGCATTAAGTGGCTAAAACAAGGACTGGTCGGCTCGGAGTCAGTATACTGTGTCTGAGTGGGGTATTCATGTTAAACTGTGGCATGGTATCTCAGTGAGCTAGCACTATAAATCGGCATCAGTCCGGACTAGTACAAGCAGCCACACACACACACACACGTACATGCACGTCGCTATATAAGTGCAATAATCTTGGACGCGACGTTAAACGCAATTTCACCTCACCTCACCTCACCTCATGCAAAGCAACAGTCAATTTATTGAGCGTATGGACAGGTGTCGAACACGAAGGCCTAAAATGGGACAGAATTCCCCAGAACACAAGACACTGATGGAAATAAGACAAATACAGCTGCTCGCATCATATTCCCTGGAGTACAACATCCCTGTATCCCTTGTGTCAGGATCCTGGATATCGGATGCAATTTGACACCATCCTTGTTGTCACTCGGTAGTGGCTGGGGAGCAGGGGTGCGGAATAATGTTATTTCATCATGTCACTACAACAATCTGGTTCATCTCGGAATGAAAAGAAGAGACGTATTGAGGATATAGATCACTCAACTTGAACTAATTCTCCAAGCATTGATTCTTGGGCTAGATTCCTGGTTATTGAGGCTAGTGATCAACTACCTATCAAACAGAGCACGTTTGCTATCTCTAAAGCAGTTTCTGGAGTTTGTGGGGAGGTGAAAACTGTCACCCGTCTCCGTAGTGGCTCACTTTTGGTTGATGTCTCAATCTTTTGTCTATCAAAACATTTGCCAATATTTAGGTTGCTGTGTCTGTGCACAGAACATAAAATTATTGTGGAGCTATCGTTCGCGACCGGACTGGTTGCTTGTCCAACATGTCGAAAGAGGACATTGCTGCAGTGTTTGAGGAACAGACTGTCACCACAGTAAAACGTATCACTGTCGAGAAAGATGATGTCATCACAAATACAAACACTCATCTCTTGACCTTTGTGCGTACATCGCTTCCGCAATCAATTTAAGCAGGTTATTTCAATATCGGAGTGGAGGTGTATGTCCCCATTCAACTCCGATGTTACAAATGCCAACAGTGCGGTCATGGATCAAAGTCTCGTAACAACTCTGTGGTATGCCATCGTTGTGGTGGCACCCTCGAAAACTCTGACTGTGAAAATGATTTCAACTACTTTAACTCTCATGGCCCACATCCTGCCTCATCAAGGTTCTGCCCCGTGTAGCAAAGAGAATAAAAAAATGTGACCGTTCCTTTGACAAGAAAAGAAAGTAGAAAAATTAAATAGAAAACAAACACCAACCGTCCCTACATCTTCAGAGGTTCCTCTACAGAACATGTTTGGACCTCTGGATATGGAGGTCATTCTGTCCTCACAGGACAGGGGGGCACAGGTGGCCCAGTCGTCTAAGGCGCCGCGATTCGCTGTACAGAGTTGCGTCCCTTGGGCACGCCAGAAACCTACCATTGTGGGTTCGAATCCAGGTTCGCCCCGATTATGTTTCTAGGTTTGTCAGCACCATACCCGTGCTCGTGGGTTTTACCGAAGTGATGAACGTCTGAGACCTGAATCACTTCGGGCTTTCCGCCCACATTAAGCTGACACGCCGCGATATAACTGGAATACTGTTAAAAGCGGCGTTAAACCCAACTCACTCACTCACTCACTCACACACAGGACAGGCGGAGGAGTAGCTCCTCCTCACATTCACGTGAAAGATCTCAAATTGAGCCACCATGACTCAATTGCCCAATCTAATGCAATGGAATTGCAGAGGACTTTGACATAATTTCAATGAGATCCCATTGTTGATACAAGATTTACAGCCGTCAGCACTATATCTCCAAGAAACCAACCTCAAAAGTACAGATAGGTTTACTTTAAGACAGTACGATGATTATCATTCCTTTCTCCTCCAGGAGATAAAGCAACGGGAGGCACAACTATCTTGGTTCTGCAGGGCATCATACATAGCCCTGTCACTCTTAATACAAATCCTCAAACTGTTCCTGTTCTTCTGACTGCACATTGCTTTTACGCTGTGCTCCTTATATATCCCTCCTTCCTCTGACAGTCTGATCATCAAAATCCATATGATCAACTTCCAAAGCCCTGCATTATCATGGATGATCTGAACGGTGAGGTGAGGTGAAATGGGGTTTAACGTCGCGTCCAAGATTATTGCACTTATATAGGGACGGGCATGCATGTATGTGTGAGTGTGTGTGTGTGTCTGCTTGTACTAGTCTGGACTGATGCTGATTTATAGTGCTAGCCCAACGAGATACCATGCTGCAGTTTAGCATGAATACCCCACTCAGACACAGGATACTGACTCCGAGCAGACCAGTCCTTGTTTTAGCCCCTTAATGCCGAGCGCCAGACAGGGTAACAACAAGTACCATCTTTTAACGTCTTTTGGTATGACGCGGCCGGGTATCGAGCCCCGGACCTTCCGCTCTCCTGGCGGACGCTCTACATCTAGACCACGGAGCCGGTTGATCTGAAAAGACCCAACCTGCTGTGGGTGAGTACAGATGCTAAAATTTAAAGGAAAAATCATTGAGGATTTTCTTTCTGACATTAACTTATGTATCTTTAATGATGATTCCAGACCTTATTTACATCAAGCCACTGGAACTTATTTTGACCTCGATCTGTCACTCACAGACTCAAACTTGTACAATGAGTGAGTTTATGCTTTACGTCACATCGGCAATATTTCAGCCATATCGTGACGATCTTGTACAATGAATTTGTATGGTCAGTCCATGATGACCTCTGCGGGAGTGATCATTTACCTACTATTCTTAAAACAGTTAACCCTAGGGATGAGCCACCATCATCCAGGTGGAACTTTACCAAGGCTAATTTGTCCTTATATGAGGTACTGTGTATTGGCAACTTAAAACATGACATTTGCAAGAATATTCCAGATCCGACAGTTGTTTTCGGACTTACTGAATGATATTGCTGATCAAACCACTCCGAAATCCTCTGCAAATCCCCACATTCGTAAAGCATGGTTCACAACTGAATTCAAACAGGCCAGAAAGTGTATGAAGAAAGCAGAAAATATTTTCGCCAAGATCCTACAGTCCATAATTTAGATAAGGATAAAATTACAAATGCCAAGGCACGAAGTGCTTTTAAACAAAATAAGCGACAATCCTGATATCGATTTTATCCGTTCGATTTATCCTGCCGAGAAACCCACCCATGGTGTGATAATATAAATTATCAGCCGATGGCACCTTCTCTCGATCGATTCTCAATTCTATGAGCACTCATAACATTAATGTACTTTCAGGTTCAATTGCCTTTAATCTTAACATTGAATAGATCACACATTTCCGTGGTTCACTTCATATTGCAGGAAGTGGAAATGTAAATAATACGTCTGACTTGTGAGCAAAGCATCAATAAACAATGTTTTGCAAATACTCAGTTTATCAGTACAGCGAGATTGTTTCCTTGACAGCGATGACATTACCATTTCCAGTACTGGTGCATAACTGCATAATTCAATATAAACTTAAAGCCCTCTGCTCACAGAAGTTGAGGGCAGGAATGTTAACAGAAATAGCAATAGGCATCTGTTTATGAAGCATTTACCTAGATGATCAAATGCTCCTGGCGTTTAATTCCCTGATTAATGGATCCGTGTGCACTCAAATCACATGCGGCAGCGTACTATCCAATCATAATCACTGTCTGCAGTAACCTAAGCAACAGCTAAATGGAATAACACCTGCATATCAATACATGTCATTGCGAACATCACCACCGAACACTGACATCATGTTTTTCATGTCCGCGATAACACTGTCACTGCTCTTCATCTTATCAGGAGCTAGTGTCTCCAATAGAACCCAGATGACATTAAGAAGACTGAAGACATATCTCCAAGGGGAAACTGCTAATGATGGCATTAGTATCATCTCCGATGAGATACAGGTTAACATAAGTATTTTGCCAATGTCCATCTCCAGCCTCAATGCAGCCAAACAGACATTCACTTCCAGTGCGGGGGTCATCATGACGTGGTTCGACACTGGTCTGGCTTGGAACAAAACTGATTATGATGACATTGAACATGTGACTATCTCTAAGAAGTTTGTGTGGATACCTTTGGTGGTTGTCTCAAACGGGATTGACAGCATTGTACCTGGTTCAATACAATCTCCAGAACTTTCCAGTGATGGAAGAGCTGTACTTATAATCACTGACAGTTTCAAGACCAGTTGTCAAATAGACATCACTCGGTACCCGTTTGATCAGCAGCGATGTAGCATCCTGTTCACGCCTGTGAATACTTTCGATCTTGGGGTTGACAGAACCGGTTCTATTATTACGAGATTACCTTCTTTCTTTATTGAGAACAGTGAATGGGAGTTGGTTGACATACACACCAAGGTGGTAGACTTCGAAATGGAACAGATATCAAGTCTTGCATCGTTTGAGTTCTATTTGAAACGCAAGAGCATGTTCTATATAGTGAGTATCATCTTTCCTATGGCTCTTCTCTCTCTGCTCAACGCCTGTGTGTTCCTCCTACCAGCTGACTCCGGAGAGAAGATGTCCTACCTCATCTCAATATTTGTGTCCTATGCAGTGTTCATGAACTTCGTCAACAACTCGATCCCCAAGTCTGGAAACGTGTGTCGACTGTCTGTGTACCTGACCCTTATCCTCTGTCAGAGCTGCCTGGCTATCATCACCACTATGGCCACACTAAACGTCCGCAATAATATTCACCTATATCGGAACAAGACAGATGTACAGCCAGAACACGACCTCGGAAACACGAAAATCACTGAACGTCCGTATGTGAAGTCTGCGTCAAAGGTCCGCCGCGCAGACCACGTTTTGTTCGTGGTCTTCCTGCTTCTGGCACTGGTGTCCCTGCTGGTGTTTTGTGTATAAGAAAGAACTTCGACGTCCGATCCCCCACTGTATTATCATCACCACCACGGCCACACTCAATGTCCGAAATAACGGTTTCCTATTTCAGAAAAAGACGGATGTACAGCCAGCGAACGACAATGTAAAGACGAACAACGCTGAAAGTCTGCATGTGAAGTCTGCCCCAGACGTCCGTGCTTCTGGCACTGATGTCCCTACTGGTGATTTGGGTGTAAGAAGGAACTCGACATCCGATCCTCCCACTGTGTTAGGGAATATCTCCTTTGTAACAAGTTTTTCAAACGTGGATTTGCAGTGAATTAATGTGACACGTCGATTCCTTCAGTAATTATTCACTCTGTGATCAGTGGTATGTATGTAGGCTGGTGTGACTCCCTTGTTGCCTTCAGTGTGACTTTCTGAACCATCTGCTTGCAGTCAGTACTATGTTGTTTAAAATGATTTGGGAAATTAGAGAGTTTGATTAGCAGTACTGTCATCAATATTCAAAACCATTACAACCTGTAAATAACCAAATCCGCCATGACATAAAAAAACACACAAATGATTAATGTTTTCTTGGCCAAACATTTGGTTTTCGGATTTTCTTGTACCAGCTGTAGGCTTTGTGATCAAAAGAGAAAATAAATGTAGAAACATGCAACTATCCCGGCTATTTATTGGATTATCCAATTTGAGATGCATGTACGTTAACGTTAGATGGTCTATGTTTTCAGAGTACAGAAAACCAGAGGACTACTACTTTAGCTCGTTTAGCATTTATACAAATATTCTCTTTTCTTTCTTCTATGTCTTTTGGTTCTATCTGTTTTTCAAATAAATTTATTCGTACTTCTTATTTGTATCACGTCTCATGTGGACATTTCCAAATTTGATGCATCAATGAATAAACATGATGCCCGATGCAATTCTCTTTATGTTCCTGTGTGTTTTCTTATGAACAGTTGATTTGACACGCTTACCTTTTGCGAACACTTGTACTAACTTTAACTATTTGATATTGATTGATAAACATGTGATCGTAGTTTTGTCAGAGTCGTACAATCGACTCTGCTTTTTGGCGAGATTTTTTACGGATATGGAATGAGTATTGTTGCTTTTATTTGTAATTCAATGTGGGATAGATATATTGCAGCCTATTACAATCGCAAATGATCACCATTTCAAAGAAATAAAGTTTCACTGCCGGTAGAGTTATCCCGTGTGCTTTTTTAGTTTCAATGCTATTCCCTCCCATCCAAATGTTTTCTAAGGTGTCACCTTTGCTTTATATTATATACTCAACAACAAAAGTTCCTGTGACACCAATAATTTAGTGTATTTGTCAAATAAGTAAAGTTTCGTTTTCAATATTGTAGTACATGTATGGAATCCAGTCACAAAAACGCAACTGCTACAGAAAAGCATGCATTCAATGCAAAAGTTGACTTTTATGCAATCCCTATGCATTTCAGTACCCAAGAATGGGTATAAATAGATGTGCGTTAACGGGATTCCATATGCATTATTAAGCATCGTGCTGACAACATCCACTCAGAAAAACAACCAGATTACGCAATTATTCAACACTACGAAATGCCACGCCTGTCCGAAAATGAGCGTCTGCAGGCCATTGGCATGCTTAAAGCAGGATCGAGTCAACGTGATGTTGCAAGACAATGTAACGTCCACAGAAACACCATTTGGTGTTTATGGCAACGTTGGCAACAGACGAATGCAGTCTGAGGCCATCCTCGGAGTGGCAGGCCACGCGTAACCAATAGTCGACAAGACAGCTGGATTCGAAAAGCACACCTGCGAAATCGATTCCAGCCAGCAACAGTGAGTGCAAGAATCATCCCTGGCCTTCGACGAATATCTTCACAAATTGTACGTCGTCGCCGCAGATGTGCAGGGAGTGTCGCCAGAAGACCCACCAGACATCCCTTTTCGACAGGAAACCACCGTCAAGCACGTCTACAGTGGTGCAGACAGCGTCTACGCTAGATGGCCATGCAGTGGGGACAAGTTCTATTCACTGACGAGTCTCGTTTTCACCTCAGCCACAGCGATGGACGGATTCCTGTGTACCGGCGTCGAGGTGAACGTTACGTCAATCATTGTATCATAGAAACGGCCGGCCTCATATTGGTCGACTTGTTCAGGATTCTCGTCAACAAAACAACGTGAATGTCATCCCCTGGCCGGCTCTATCCCCTGATCTTTCACCAACCGAGCACATGTCGGATGAGATGGATCGGCGCCTTCGACGTCAACCACGTGTTCCACAGACACTCAAGGAACAGCAGATATGGACAGATATCCCACAGCACAGCACAGCTATTGATTTGTAAATTGACATTTTGGCATGTTCATGTTTTTGTTATGAAATCACGCATTTTCTGAAGTCAGTATGGCACATGAAGCCATTTGAACACTTACAGGAGTCTTTTTCTGTTGCAAACCGAAATTGTTTCAGACTTGGTAAAATACATTACTTTGCATTAAATATTATTCAGTGTCACTGTTGTTCAGTATGTATTGTGGTACGATTGAGCTGCAAACCAAACATAGGAGGGGCGCAGTATATAAAAAGAGACATCTGCTTGGTTTATAAGTTTTATCTATTTGAGTTAAGACCTTCACAATTTGATACGTGACGAATTCCTTTATTGTCAATATTTTAGCAGATGTCGAGTTCAGATGTGACCTGATATTTCACAGCAGATTGTGTTGAAACATTTTGTTTCAACAAACCTAGCAAGTATTAAAATGAGGAATTACTTACCGTCTGATGAACTTAGTCGTCAGAGCCTCTTTGTTGAAGACAGCATCAATTTTAATGCCTAATCATACCGCTATGCATATTATGTTATTCTAAAGGTGAAGACAGGTATTGCGAAAAGGTAACCGTAGGACAATTTGTTACCTATAAAAAGAGTGAGTGAGTGAGTCGAAATTTAACGTCACGTGGGCAATATTTTAGCCATGTCGTAACGAGAACGTAGCCATTTAAAATACAGATATTTTCAGCTTGAATGAAACCTGTTAGCGATGGAAGTATAATAACTAGAGGAACACAGTTTCAATTGATTTTAAAACTAACTGAGAGCATTTGAAAGAATGAATTCAACAATACAATATATAAATGGGTTATAGATCACCAGCAACTAAAGTTACGCACCATTCTAGGGACCGTTGGGACTATATAACAAATATAATACGTTTAAAACTGAGGTATGAATAAATGCCACAAATGAGAACTTGCAACTGCGTCAATATCCCTGGATCCATCTGAAAAGATTTGTAGGTATTGTAAAAGCTTTTTTATTGATTATATTCTCGTTGATAAATAAGTTGATTTGTTTCAAAATGCCTTAGTTCAGTTAATGTTAGATCCACCTCTGGTTTTACTAAATGCCATGGTGGAGAAGAGTGGGGGCTATATTGTCAAGATGTATTTTAGCCGCAGATGAAAAACACAGTGACATGCTGGATTCGAGCAAGTAGAACATAATTTATAGATACAATGCAAAGATTATTTAATGCGACGGTGTTTAACGGATGGTTCATCCGCTTCCACATACAAACTATTAATTGGCGAAGATCTGAAGGCTCCAGTACAAAGCCTCAGGCCTTGATGGTGAATTGTATTAAGTGATTTTAAATTGGATTTACAAGTCCCGCTTTAGATGATGGAGCCACAATCAAGTTTAGAGCGGATCAGCGTGTTCTTAAATGTTTCCGAAGCTATATCAAAGAGATTCTCTTGAGTTTCTGACTGATTAAATATCTGATATTTGTCTTCTGTGAGTATTCCTCATTCTGATTTGCAAGGCACTCAGTAAAGGTTACCTGGCATGTAGTTGTACCTTCACCTACTTCATCCCATTGTACTACCGAACGTTTAATGTTCGTATTCATGTCATGTTCACCTGAAAAGTTGAGAAATCGAATGTATGTTTCTCAGCACGAATATCTGCAAAAAAGCCCACGTGAGGCCCCGGGGTAGAATGTGTCCTCAGCACCCCATTGCTGGTCGTAAGAGGCGACCGACTTCGGCAACCTGTTTGCCGTGGGTTGCGCCCCTGTGTCGATGGAGAACGTGATTCCAGTTGTTACGGGCACTGGAGCCAGGAACAGCTGTCCCCTTTCTCCCACACACTACTTTGATCCTTACTATACCTCGATGTGTAGTTGAATTGGCCCGATTCTATCAATCGGCTGGTCACTCCATGCCCTGTGCATATCACATCAAACTATTTTTTTATCAGAATATTATATAATAACCTTGATGAAGTTCTCTGCCACAAGAAGGCGGCCGGGTAGCCTAGTGGTTAAAGCGTTGGCTCATCACGCCGAGGACCTGCGTTCGATTCCCGACATGGTTACAATGTGTGAAGCCAATTTCTGGTGTCCCCTGTCGTGATATTGCTGGAATATTGCTAAAAGCGGCGTAAAATCAAACTCACTCACTCACTCTGACAGATTTTTCCATCACAAGTGATAAATATTTCAGTGTAAAAACTGTGAAGGACCTTTTTAGTAAAGTAAAGTTTTTAAAGGAAATAGAGCTTATTCTAATTTTTGATGTAGTTACTGTATTGTTGTTTTTTAAATTGGTAGTGCTAATTAATAAATCAGATTGTTAGTGGCTGTACCCTCGAGGGGGGTTGAAGTAGCGTAAAATTATTGTCCCCCTAAGAGGGTATGTAAGTCCCATATCATTCGAAGTATTTTTCTGCATGCCAGGTTTTTAAACGTAGAATATTCGTCATTTTAAACTTTGGCTTAATTGGTACACTGTCCCCAGTGACTAAAGGGATGATATAAATCCTGCCGGGGTCCAACCAGGAATCAAAGGTACTGTCAGTCCTCATGGTCCCTAGGATGGTGATTTCCCTTTAGTTACTGACGAGCTCTAGCTCATTTTTATATTGTGTTGTTCACTAATACTTATACCTTTTATATATTCTCAACTAGTTTTAAATCGACTCTGATATTCTAGTTATTGTACTGTC